GTGTGTGTGTGTGTGTGTGTGTGTGTGTGTGTGTGTGTGTGTAGATGCATGTGCAGGCCACAGGCCAATGAGGGGCATCTCAGTCAGTTGCTCTCCATCCACCTTATTTTTTGAGCTGGCTCTCTCACTGAACTTGGATCTCAATGATTCAACTAGGCTATTTGCTCCACCCACCTACCCCCAGGGATCCTGTCTACCCGCCCAGGGATCCTCCTGTCTGTGCCCCCAGGGATCCCTCTGTTTGCACCCCTCAGAGATCCCTCTGTCTACCCTCCCCAGGGATCCCTCTGTTTGCACCCCTCAGGGATCCCTCTGTTTGCACCTCCCAGGGATCCCTCTGTCTGCCCCCCTCAGGGATCCCTCTGTCTGCCCCCCTCAGGGATCCCTCTGTCTACCCCCACAAGGATCCTCCTGTCTACACCCCACCCAACTCTAGGATTACAGGCACACGCCATGCCTGGCTTTTTACATGAGTACTCAGGATTGCACTCAGGTCTTCTGTTTGAGTGGAAAGCAATTTACAGACCAAGCCTTCTTCTGGTAGTAGTAATACATCTACTGTTATAATGTATTAAATGCCTATTACAAGCCCGGTTCTTCACCTAGGATGTGGAAACTAGGCCAAATATAATCTCTCTTGAAATTTCATAGCCCCAAAAAGCAGCAGACAGATGTTTGAGAAACAGTCACATGTTTCATAACAGCTAAGATACAACCTGATAAATGTTGTTCAGTGATGTCATTCCAGGAATAAAGTAAATTTACCCAGACTAAGGTGGCATAGTATCACTAGATGAGACATCTCATGGGCCTATTATTGCCTGTGTTGTTCATCATTGACTGAAACATTGTACATTATTCAATGTATACATGGTCCACCAGTGGGCTGGAAGCTGTGCACCCCACCTACAGGATACCTTTAACTAACCCCTCTCCATAGCCCCAACTGACTACCTTGTTACCATCACTCTACTAATAAGGACTCCAGAGTTTGTCTTTATTACATTTTATTTACTATTTGTTTAATGTCATGTGTGGTCCCAAGAGTGCTATAGTGTACATGTGGAGGTCAGAGGACCCTATAGGACTTTTGGGAACTAGTTTAGACTCTCTCTTCCACCATGTGGGTTCAGGGGATTGAACTCAGGTCATCAGGCTTGGCAGCAGACCCTCTGAACCACCTTGGTGGCCCCTGATCCTGAAGTTTAAAATGGCTAATGGACTTGTGCAGATGGTAACCCAGGCAGAAAGACTGCAGTCTTGTTTATTTCTTGAGACAGGGTTTCTCTGTGTAGTCCTGACTTTCTTGGAACTTGCTTTGTAGACCAGGCTGGCCTTGAACTCAGAGATCCACCTACCTCTGCCTTCTGAGCACTGGGACTAAAGGCGTGCACCCCTACTCCAGGCTGGAGTGGCATAGCCCAATGGCTTTCCTGCAACTAGACATCGAGGCACAAACGCTGTAAGCACTGGCGCCCTGGGAGAAATCAACTCAGTGGAGTAAATGCTACAGAAGAAACTCAGTATCTGGGTGTGGGGGCACATGTCTGTTACCCCAGTGTGCTGGAGACTAAGGCAGGAGGATTGTTCCTAGGTCTTAGTGAGGCCAGCCGGGCTGTCAGGAGATTGTGTTTCAGAGAGGGTATGGGGAGAATAAAGCAAGCCATTGAGTAGAGGCCTGAGGAAAGAAGGGGACAGTGTAGTCTGTGTGAGATAAGGAGGATGGGGAAGGGAGCTCCCATAAGGGGGAAGAGAATCCAAAAGGAAGAAATCAGAAGCATACTTGTACACGACAGTGTTTCTAAAGCCTATGTCTTCAGGTTAGGAGAATGCCAGGTAGTGAGTGGGAAGGGTGATGAGAGATGGACAGATAAACCAGTGTGACTGCTCCTTCTCGGATACTGTTCGTGCTTGGCCATGTACAAACCCCAGGACTCACCTTTCACCAACAGCTGATATTCTTGGGTGGTTTTCTCCTTGCTGTTCAGGACCACGGTGCATTTGTACCTCCCTGAATGGAAGACCCGAGCCTGGGGAATGAAGATGCTCTCTGTGTACTCCGTGGAGGAGATGTTGAACAACAGCATTTCATCCTTATAGAACAGCACCTGGTGATGGGACCTGACTTTCGAGGTGGTGCTGATATCCACAAGGCACTCCAGGGTCACGCTGTACCCGTTCGGTATCTCCCAGGACGGCAGGCTTTTCATGTGGATGCTGTTAATGGTGAAAGCTAAAGGCAAAGCAGACATTGTTATCATGGAAACAGCATCATCCAGAGGTGGACACATGGATGGAAACATATTACATATACATCACACACACACACACACACACACTATACACACACACCAAACACACATACATACCACACAAATACCACACATACCACACAAATACCACACAACATACACACACACACACACATACACACACACACACACACACACACACACATACACACACCACAAATACAAAATAAGTCTTCAAACATTTTTTTCAAAAAAAAATAATCATAACCGGGTGGTAGTGGCACACACCTTTAATCCCAGCATTTAGGAGGCAGACGCAGGCAGATTGCCATGAGTTTGAGGCAGCCTGGTCTACAGAGTGAGTTCCAGGACAGCCAGGGCTACACAGAGAAACCCTCAAAATAACAAACAAGCAAAAAAGAATTCATAAGTTGTTTTGACAGATATATAGGAGAGTGGCCAGAATGTGGTACACAGTAGTTCCTTAATAAACAGTGACTCTCCATCCTAAAGTCAGACATGCCCAGGAGTGTTCCACCCCTCCCAGCCCTCATGGGACCATCATGGGACCATCATGGCTCTAGTTGTCCCTTTCTCTCTCTCCCCACAGTCCCTTTGTCCTCCTGTAGCTCTCTTCTTCATTCCCTTCCCCTTTTCCCTCTCTCTTCCTTTTGTCTCTCTCTTTTTTTTTTACATTTAAGATGTTTTCTCTAGTAACTACTTTCAAAACACTGTGGAAAAATACAGACCACATTACACAAAACTAAGGTACAATACTAGTGAGATGTGAGGGCTAACATCTGTAAATTCCAGCATTTGGAAGGCTGGGCCAGGAGAACTGCTGTGAGCTCAAGGCCAGTCCAATTCAGGAGTGAAACTATGTCTCAAGTGAGACTGCATCTCAAGGTTAATAAATAAACAAACAAATAAACAAGCGAACAAATAAATGAGAGAGAGAGAATAGTAAGACTATAGCAAATTCAAGGCCAGTCGGGGTTTCTCCTAGTGAGTTCAAGCAAGTAAAGGAAATTCTAAAATCTCAATAAACAAACAAACGTACTGAGGGAAGGTGGGGATCCCCTCGGGGGTGGGGTGCCTGCCTTGCATGTGCAATGGCCTAGCTTCCATCCCTACTACCACAACAAAAGTGTGCACTGAGGCTGGAGTTATAACTCAGAGATAGAGTCCGTAGGTATGAGTTCAGAAAGCACATTAGGGAAAAAAAACAACAAGCTTTAAAAAAATAGTCAGTACCCAAAATAGATGTCTTTAAGTATAACCAATGAAACTCCCTATGCTGTGGCCAGCTGGTGTTTGCTCTTTAGAGGGTTCAGAGGTGTTACCAGAGGGAAGACTTGAAACCACTTCTTTTTTTTTTTTTTTTTTTTTTTTTTTTTTGTTGGAGTTTTTGGGGTTGGTTGGTTTTTGGTTTTCAAGACAGGGTTTTTCTGTGTAGCAGCTCCGGCTGTCCTAGAACTAACTCACTTTGTAGACCATGATGGCTTCAAACTCACTGAGATCCACCTTCCTCTGCCTTCCGAGTGCTGGGATTAGAGGTGTGGACACCACCCCCGGCCTTAAGTCTCTAGCTCATACAGCTGAGGATAATGAACTTTTGGTCCTCCTGCCTCCACCTCCTAACCAGGCTGGCCTCCAACTCACAGAGATCCGCCTGCCTCTGCCTACCGAGTGCTGGGGTTAAAGGCGTGTGCCACCAACGCCCGGCTGGCTCTCAACCTTTCTAATGCAGCTAATACAACTCCTCATGCTGTGGTGACCCCAACCATAAAATCATTTTTTGTGCTACTTCATAACTGTAATTTTGCTACTGTAAATTGTAATGTAAATTCTGATATTCAGGATATCTGATATGTGACCCCTGTGAAACAGTCGTCTGACCCTCAGAGGGGTTGTGACCTACAGGTTGAGAACCACCATCCTAAATGATGGGACTATGCTCTGTTTACAGAGACATAGATAGGGGCAAAACACGCTTACACATAAAATAAATAAACCTTAAAGAAGTCTGGAGACAATTTTTTAAAAGATAATTTTAAAGCTAAGCATAGTGGCTGGCTCACACCTGTAATTCTCTCACTAGGAAACGGAGGCGGGAGGTTCCCTGTGAGTTAGAGGCATACACGCATACACAAGTTCCTGGTTATGCCTCTGACCTGCTTACACAGAGACAACATGCCACACACTACAAACCTTCAAACCTGGCAGCGGACCAGGGTAAATGGAAATGTATGTGGCTAAGAGAAATTTGGAGACTAGAGATGGTGTTGGAAGATATCAGGTCAACTGTAGTGGTTTGAATGAAAATGGCTCCCGTATGCTCATAGGGAGTGGCACTATTGGGAGGTGTGACCTTTTGGAATAGGTATGGCTTTTTGGAGGATGTGTGTCACTAGGGGTGAGGAGTTTTGAGGTCTCAGATGCTCAAGCCAGGCCTGGTAGCTCACTCTTTCTTCCTGCTGCCTTGGATCCAGATGTAGGGCTCCCAGCTACCTCTCCAGTATCAGGTCTGCCTGTGTGTTGACATACTTTGTCATGTGTGGTCATGCTGTTAATGGACTGAACCTCTGAACTCCAAGCCAACCCCATTAAATGCTTTCCTTTGTAAGAGTTGCTGTGGTTGACCAGAGGGTATGACGAACACCTTTATCCCAGCACTCAGGAGGCAGAGACAGTTGGATCTCTGTGAGTTCAGGATCAGCCTGGTCTACAGAGCCAGTTCCAGGACAGGACCCAAAGCTACACAAAGAAACCCCGTCTCAAAATAAAAAAGGAAAAAAAAGAGTTGCCATGGTCAGGGTGTCTCCTCATAGCAACAAAAGTCTAACTAAGACATGTACAGAGAGTTATGCCAGCCAAATAAGGTCCTGTTGCTTAGATAAGGCCCCCTAAAAGCTCAATTCTTACCAGAGTCCCTAGTGAGAGGGAAATATCCATAGATCATAACTACCATGTATGTTAAATAATAGTCTACATCTCCATATTGTCACCAGGAAAAAATCTCCAGGACTCAGCATTCTTGGATCACCTTGCTATATCCACACGTACTATGTCAGACCCGTTAAGGGAAGGAATCTGAGCTGAACTCTGTTCCCTCGACAGATTCACATGTTAAATCCTATCCTCCAGTCTTGTAGAATGACTCTATGTGGACCTCAAACCTGTACTGAGGCCATTAAATTAAATTAAAATGAGCCAGTAGTGTGGGCTCTGGTCCACCGGATCTGTGTTCCTGTCATGTGAACAGATCCCACATGAAGACTTAGGCTGGGCCCGTGCCCGTATACGGTGACTAAGGCAAAAGGATTGCTTTCAATTTGAGACCAGTCTGGCTACATACTAGGTCTTATCTTTAAAAAGGAAGGCAAGAAAGAAAAGACAAAGAGAGGTGGCCATCCAGGACCAAGAGAGACTGCAGAAGCCAGACTAGTCAACAATTTGATCTTGGATTTGCAGCCTTCTGAGAAGCCATACTTTTTTCTCTTCATTTCACCCAGTCCGTGGTGTTTGCTGTGTTAGCCTAAGCAGACTAACACAGATGGAGTTACACATGGTGGCACACCCCCATAAACAAAGCATTTAGAAGACTGAGGAAAGATTATTGCTGTAAGTTCAAGACCCATTTGGGCTACATAGTAAAACTGTGCCTTGGCGGGGACAAAACATTGATAGGATGTTTGCCTAGCATGCATGATGAAGCCCTGGGTACAGTCTTCACCACAGTATTTTTAAAATGAAAAGGGCCGGCAAGATGGCTCATCAGGTAACAGTACCTGCCACCAAGCCTGGTGACCCAAGTTCAATCCCTGGAACCCACATGGTGGAGATACAGAGACCCTACTTCATCAAATTATCTGATCTTCACATGCGGTCTGTGGTCCCAATTATTACTATTATTATTTTAATTTTAAAGAAGAAACTAAAACCTGTCTCAACACACACACACACTCACACTAGCTTGGCATGGTGGTACATACCCATAATGCCTGCACTCAAGAGGCAGAGACGGGTGAGTTGGCCAGCCTGGTCTACATAACAAGTTCCATGTCAGCCAGTGCTACAAGGTAAGACCCTGTCTAAAACAAACACCCTACCCCTCCAAACCCAACATTCACAAAGCTGTCTTATAAAGGGGCAGAGAGTATAGTTCTACTTGTTTGCCATGTGTGAGCCCTGGGCTCTTCCTCCAGCACCAGGAAAAGAGAAAAACAACCACCACAGCAGAGTCTGGGAGCTGGGATCCCAGGGCTAGACAAAGCTCCACCAGGGAAGCTCCGAGACTCATTTCTAGCCTCGTTTCCACCAGTGGATTGTGCTTGTTTCCCTTTGGGAGTCTCCAAAATCCTCTAACTTCCAATGAACTGAGCAGAGTTGTACCAGGCTCTTGGGAGGTAGAGGGAGGTCAGGAGTTCAAGGTCAGCATGGGCTACTCAGCAAGTCTGAGGCTAACCTGGGCTATATATTAAGACCCTGTCTGAAAAACACACATAAAGCAAGGGCTGGGATTCAATGACTAAAGTTCCAGGCTAGCTAGGGCTACATAGTGAGACCCTGTTTCAAACAAAAAAGCGGGGGTGAGGGGGGATAACTAACAGGAAGTTCCCATATGTTCCAACTCCTCAAAGTAGAGCCTGCTGCCTGTGCCCTGCTTGCTTTTTCATGAAGATTTCAAGGTGCATGTCCCCCAAAATGTAATGTAAATATAAATGGGAAAAGATGAAATTAAAGTAACTCTTCACAGAAAATTTTCACGCACACATAAAACACAGGAAATTCAGAAATGCTCCAGGACTTGACCTCTTTCTGAAACCCTGTCTTGGAAAACAGAAAGAAAGATAGAAAGAAAGAAAGAAAGAAAGAAAGAAAGAAAGAAAGAGAGAGAGAGAGAGAGAGACAGAGGGGAGGGAGGGAGGAAGGAAGGAAGGAAGGAAAAGACTTGACCTCCTATCAGGAACTGAAGACC